CGCTAGTTATATTTTTAGACCTGAAGGAAATGTCTGCCAGCCCTGCCAATTCAATGTGTTTGCTATGTACCCTGGATGAATCCTTTCTTTAGTGAGACTCAAGTCCTGTGACAAAAGAAGGGAAATGATATTTCCAATTGGAACCATCAAGTAGCAAAAGGTCTTGTGATATAACCACATAGTTTTGCATATCAGAAGTTACTCATCAGGTCTTTTCATTTTTCAGTCCTGTGTATTTCAGTTCAGTTTGGACAAGTATTTTCTTGACTGTCAGAGATAGAGGCGAGTAAGATAGTAATAGTACGGACCAGGAGCAGACTGGCTGAGACAATTAGGGGTAGAATTGGGAACGGCTGTGAGGTCACTGGAGACCAGGGACCGAGTCTTTCCTTTTCTCTGACATTTAATCAACTCATGATTTCATGCCTTGACAGTGAAGGACACTTGGCAGATGAAGTTCACACAGGTAGTAAGGATAATATGAGGCCAGCAACAAGACAATAGTGGTGTCTCACTGACCTGAATTTGTACCTGTGAAGAAATAGGAAAAAACAGAGCTGGAAAAGCAGCTTGACATATTGTGGAGGGCCTTGAACACATGGCAGAAGAATTTGTCCTTCAGTCAGTCATCAGTGGAAAGCTAATGAAGAATTTTAAGCAAAAATACTGTCATGATTAGAGCTAGAAATGCTCTTTAGGAAGATTAATCCATCAGTGAGTGGGATATATGATAATGGATGGTTATGAGGAAAGACTGGGAGTTAACTAGTGAAGAGGTTACTGCGGCAGTTCCAGTGAGAGGTGGAAAGTCCTGGTAGCCAAGACAGCAGGTACCATACCTTTGTCACATCCTCACCTTTATGGCACTTAACCATTCCCATGCACGGCTACCTGATGGCTTCTACCTGAAAGCACTCACATCTCTTTGACTGGGGCCTCTCTAGCTACTGGAGCCTGCTGGACTGTACTCCGGGCCAACCAGGAGTTAACAGCCTCCAGGAGCAGCCTTCAACCAGTGCCTGAAGGGAACTAGTGGAACCCATCTATCTCACCACTCATTTGGATAATTTTGAACCACATTCACACAGTCTGCCAAAGTGCCTCAGAGGATTGGGTCCCTGTTGCCCACAGCCACAAACTGTTTAGTCACATATGCTTTATTGACTTCCTACCTTCCCTGACACACTTCACCACTCCTCTACTGGTGCTCCCTGCTACCACCTTCCAAATAAATTGCTTGCACTCACATCCTGTCTCAGGGGCTCTTCTAAGGGAATCTAATATACCAGGCCTTTACTAGAGTGGAAAGAAGGGGTTTCTGGCATTTCCTGCAAAAGACACTGAGGAGGAAGAAACTAGAGGATTTGGCAGTTTACTGACTATAAGATTAAGGGAGAGGGAGAAGGCATTGCCACCGACAGTTTTAACTAGGAAAATATAGGTGTCATTTATTTTTAAAATGGGAAGTTAGGGGGCACCTGTGTAGCTCAGTTGGTTAAGTGTCCAACTTTTGATTTCAGCTCAGGTCATGATCTCACAGTTATGGGATCAAGCCCCACATTGGGCTCTGCACTGAGCATGGAGCTTGCTTAAAATTCTCCCTCTCTCTCCCTCACCTTCTTCCTCTCTCTCCCTCTTCCTGTCCTCTACTCAAGCACAGTCACACTTTCTCTCTAAAAAAAAAAAAAAAAAAAATGTTAAGGGGCGCCTGGATGGCTGAGTAGGTTAAGCGTGTGACTTCAGCTCAGGTCATGATCTCGTGGTCCGTGGGTTCGAGCTCTGCATGAATAGACTCATATGTAATAAAAATACCAAGGAAGGATTTCTTCACCTAAATTCTTGTGACAAATTGTGCAGTCACTATGAATGAGCATGGTAGTAGATATTATTCCATTTAGATTTTACAAATGCATTTAAATCAAAATATTTTTTAAAGTATCTCATCTTAGGGGTGCTTGGGTGGCTCAGTCGGTTAAGCACCTGACTTTGGCTTAGGTCATGATCTCATGGTCTGTGACTTCAAGCCCTGCATTGGGCTCTGTACTGACAGCTCAGAGCCTGGAACCTGCTTCAGATTCTGTGTCTCCCTCTCTCTCTCTCTGGCCCTTCCCTGCTCGTGTACTTTCTCTCTCAAAAATAAATAAATGTTACAAAGAATTTTTTTTACATAAATAAATAAAGTATCTCAGCTTAGCTGATATATTTATGATTTACATAAATAAATAAAGTATCTCGATTAGCTGATAAGGTATACCAGGAGTCATTTAACTTCTCTCAACTCAGTTTCCTGTATGAAATAGACATAATAAGGGATCTTTCTCAGGGTTTTGTTTTGTTTTGTTTTGTTTTTTAAATAATTTTTTAGGGGCGCCTGGGTGGTGCAGTCGGTTAAGCGTCCGACTTCAGCCAGGTCACGATCTCGCGGTCCGTGAGTTCGAGCCCTGCGTCGGGCTCTGGGCTGATGGCTCAGAGCCTGGAGCCTGTTTCTGATTCTGTGTCTCCCTCTCTCTCTGCCCCTCCCCCGTTCATGCTCTGTCTCTCTCTGTCCCAAAAATAAATAAACGTTGAAAATAAATAAATAAATAAATAAATAAATAAATAAA